TTTTTTTTTTTACAGTGCTAGTATGACCCATCAGATATATAGATTAATTTGCTAACAGTTGCATGGGGAGGAAGATAATTTTAATATGCCTGTTGTCTGGGCAAAACAAGTGATACACTAAAAATGGAAGGTTTAACAAAGCTGGTAGATTGTCCTCCTGCCCAGGAGAGAAAGGGCTAACAGAGCTGGAAGCACAGAAAGGTTTTGATTAGCAAAATGTCGTGGAACAGCCAGTAAAATTTCCATCCTACTGTAATTAAATGCATTAATTCTATTCAAGAGGAGGACCAAAGCGTAGAGCATTTCATCTCCAGCTCGTCCTGACATGGCAAAATAGSAATAGTTGGGTGTTTTTGTTATGCCAGTTGTGTGCCTACTTCTTGCAATGCTGCAGTGAAGCACTAGGGCACTAGTGCTGGAATAACAGGTAAATTTTGGATCTTGCATTTCACTGACCTAATGCCTTCCCTTTGTAGGCTGACACCATTCAGCAGTACCCTTTAGCTACAGGAGGAAAACTTGCTTACATGTAGYACTTCCTGTCAATGACTGCAGTCCAAGGACAATAAAACAACAAGGATGTGTTTCATTTTCAGCCTTCCAGTGCTCTTGCTGTCTGAGATTCCTCCTGGCTGCCAMCCAGCCCATCCCAAGAGCCTCCTGGTCCTGTTCATGGCCTCACTGAGGCCACCAGGGTCATGACATGTCCTGGGCTGCAGTTGTGGTTGTGTCCAGTCAGGAGTAACACCACTGCCTCCTGCCAGTTCTTATAAACACTGATTTTGTAAAAGAATTATGTTCGTTTTTAAAACTGAAGCACTCTAAAGAAAGCTTAATAAAAATACTAAGTATGTCCTCCYCCTGCTGAGGACCTGGGTGGTCCTGAGTCCTGCCCATGGGCTGGGTCACTGCCTGGGCTGCTTCTGGACCAGGAAGGAAACAGCACTGTTCGTGCTGACACTGCCTTGCTGGAGATTATTYTGATCCAGAAACATTTTCATCCATTCCAACAGCAGCAGCCTTAAGTTCTGCCTTCTAGATACCACCTGTGACACTTTGTATTCTGTTCTATTGAAAATTTTAGCTGTTTAACTGAACATGACTCAAAGCAAAGCTTGGCACAGAACTCCTTTGGCTTCACCAGCATTTTCAGGTAACCAAATGTTGTGCTCATGTTTAATGATGGCAGGAGATGGAGGTTTGAACTGTTGGATTTGGTCAGTAGAGGTTTTTGATCACTGTCATTAGTAYTGTGTGCAAACTGATCAAGCAATAAAATAAACACACTGGCATGTCAGCAAAGCTCACATCTCTCCAGACTCCTCTCAAGCTGCTCAGTCCTGAGAATGTGACACGTGTTGACAACATTACCACRATCTCAAATAATGGAAGTTAATAAAACAGATTGGGAAACAGTTTTAGCTGGTGTAGGGATTATTAGCACTCATCCCTGTGTGAAAGTATCTTTCCATGGATACAATTAAAACTATGTAACTGAAGGTATAATCACCTTTTACATATTACAAAGGCTGGAAAAAGGCAAATGTTGTGCCCATCTTTGAAAAAGGCTGGAAGGACCATCTGACAAAGCACAGGCCAGATGGTATCACTTCATTCCCTGGGAAAATCATAGAGGAAGTCCTTTCAGAAYGTTTTTGGGGACATGAAGGAGAAGATGACTGGGAACAGCCAGAATGGAATTACTGAGGGTAAACCATGCTCACCTGCCTTCTATAATAAAGTATCTTTGTGGATGAGGGAAGGAGCACTGGATGTTCTTCATTTCAGCTTTAACAACTCTTTCAGCACTATCACACAAACTCTTGCACCCAGCTCAGGATGTTACAGCCCACACAAAACTGGCTGGATGTTCAGGCTGAGCACCCTGGGCTGGAACCATCCTTCTGCAGGCACAGGATGACAGCAAAGTGGGAGCTCCAAGCCCACACCTGGGACAGGGCTGCTGGCCAGAGGGATGGACAGGAGCCTGGTGAGTTCAGCAGGGAGCAGGGCAGGGAACCCAGCCAAAGGAGAGCCCTTGCAGTGACAGGCTCGGGGCTCAAAGGTCTCTGGGTCCTGGCAGGGGAAAAGGGGAGCATGAGCCAGCAAATCCCAGGTTGTTGGAAGGGACACTGGACTGTTGGGGCCTGAATGTCAGCCTSTAAAAGGGAAGAGTATCCCCCTCAGCTCATTTCATCTTTCTTGTGTGATTTTGGGGTTCCATTCCCACCATACAAAGACTTTGCCAAAGCTGAGTGAGTTCAGCAKAGGGCCAACACAGTATTCAGGGGCAGGAGCACATGCCTGGGAGGAAAGGCTGAGGGAACAAGGCTTGTTCATTGTTCAGCCTGGAAAAAGGAAGGTTTTTGGGGGAGACCTCAGAGCAGCCAGCCATTTCCAGGAGGTTACCTGGAAAATTCCAACTTTCCACAATAGTGCATAGGCAGAGACAAGGGTAGAGGCCAAGAGAGATTTAAGCTTTTTGAGGGGCACAAAAATGACCAGAGAGCTGAAGCAACTTCCCTGCGAGGAAAAGCAGAGAGCTGGGGGTTTTCAGCCTGGAAAAGATTTCAMAGAGCCCTAATTGTAGCCTTTCAGTACTTGAAGGSGGCCTGCAAGAAGGATGGGGACASATTTTTTGGCACATCTTGCTGCAATAGGATATGGGGTAATGGCTTTAAGCTGAAGGAGTGTTGATTTGGATGCAAGAGGTTTTTTAACAATGARGATGAAAAACACTGGCACAGGTTCCCAGAGAAAGGGTGATGCCCTGTGCCCGGAAACACTGAAGTTCTGAGTGTGATTTAGTTAAAGATGTCCCTGCTCATTGGAATTGAGGGTTTGAC